CCGTACTGAAAAGAGGTGGAAAGAACCCGATCCGCCTCATCGAGGACCACACAGTCGACTTTCCGGCGAAGCGGCTCCCCAAGAATCGCGGAGCTTTGGCGGTGGATCTCGCCAACCCGCCGCGGGGTCCCGACGAGGATGTGGGGCTGGATGTTGTGCAGCCTCGCGAGCTGCGCGTCGAGCGGGATGGCGTCAACCGCGGCCTGTACAACGTGCGAGGTGCAGCCCGCAAAATGGCGAAACCATTTATCGTACTGAAGGGCCAACTCCGTCGTCGGGACGAGGAGAATTGTGTGGAGGCGATAATTCAGCCCCCCGCGGAGCAGCCGGTTCACGATGGCCAGCGCAATCGCGAAGCTCTTCCCCGTCCCCGTCTCCGAGTGCGCGAGGACGTGCTTGCCTTTTAGCATCAGGGGAATCAGAGCCCCTTGGAGGGGCGTGAGCTCGCGGATTTTCAGCCGCCGTAGGGCTAAAATGAGGGGAACGCAAAGACCGGCCTCGCGAGGGGAGGTCTGCGCGTAGTACAGCGGATGGGCGCTGTTGTGGTTGTGGATTTGCTGCTGCGAGGGCGCGAGCATCTGCGCCGAGCCAAGCCGAAGTTGAATCATCTTCTCCCTTGGCGATATCCCGTTGGGGCCATCCCTGCGGGGTTCATAAAAATACTGCTGAGAAGAGGGGACGTTGGCGCCGCGGCGGGCGGCGCTATCGAGGTCCAAGTAATGTTGGACAAGACTGGCGGCAGAGCCCCCGACACGTGCGCGCGTACCCGCTAGGTATTTGAGCAGGTAAATGCGGCCGTTTCTCAACATGCACAGACTACGTTGTTTAAAGCATGCACATCTTTTGTGGGGGAGGGGGGGGGGAGGAAGTAATAAAAAATATTAGATGACAGCATTAACAGTATATATATATATATATATATATGACAGAAATCTTAAATAAGACACTTACGACAAGATGCGTATCTTATTTTGCTTTATCCATAAGAGTTTTATTTTCGCTCCTAATAGCACTTCCTTGAGTCTTCCAAGTGTGATTAACGCCTTACAATTTTACCTACTCTTCTCACCCCTCTTGGTCTTCCTAGCATCACGTGCTGATATGCGAAGCACTGAGGATCGGATTCATCCAAAGCCCATCCCCGAGGTGGTGGACATTCGCGATGCAGGGACCGGAGTTCACCGACTGGATTTCGTCGGATGACATCAGCATAATCCCGAGCCCCACGGCGTGCTTTTTGCCCTCTATGTGAACGCTCACGACCTCCCCTCGTGGGATCCCCGGCTCGATGCGCCCACCATCCGAGGTGAGGCCCTGGCACATGATGTTGGCGCCGGAAACGACGCTTCGGCATCCCCCGATATCCACCTGATGGCGTTTAAGAAGAAAGGGATATTTGTGGAGCAGGCGGAGGTGCGGCATGTAGGGGCCATCGTGGTGGTTGAAAAAAAGGACCTCGGGGCGGGAGCTCACCAGGGTGATGCAGCGCACCTGACCTTGGCAGCGGATGATAAAGATGTCCTGTTTGGGAGGTAAAACCTCATCCCAGTAGTCCTCAAAGACGGGGAACTGCGCGCGGAGATCCTGCCGTACCGCTTGTTGTTCCTTGCGACTGCTGCTGGCGATCTGGGCAACGTTCTGTAAGGTAAATTTCTGAAAAAGTTCTGATGAAGACGCCATTAGTTATTTCCCTTTAGTTGAAAAAATTCTGTAGAGGACTTTTTTTTTTTAAGTGAAGAGACATGAGGTTTAAAAGAAGCACAGATTAAAGAGGCAATAAATGCCAACACATAAAATGCGAACTATTTAAAGTGGGATTTAACACACTTCTCCACAGCATCGAGGACTCGTTGCGTGAGCCTACTCAATACTCTCACGCTAGTCTCGGTTGTAGGTGTGGTGTTACTCATTGTGTTTGTGTCTAAACAGGCAAGAAACCTCGGACTTTGAAAGCACTTGGTTTTTGAAACCCCTAAATGTTTTTGTTAATGCGGAACTATTTTTCAAACATCCTGACCTTTGCTTCCGCTTTTTTTTCTTCAGGGAATGATAGAAGTTAACAGAAGATAGTGAGGGTTAAACACGCTCATCAGTCCTATTGACAAGGTCTTCCCGCGGTACCTTTATCTTCCTTGCACCAAATGGAAATGATAGAGAAAACTTATTGGCGCATTGGTAAGTTTTACAAATGAATACCAATCAACGTTCAACCAAGTGATTCACAAAAAGTGTAAAAAATAAAGGTATATAGTAATAGCAGAATAAAGGAAATGAAATAATAATAATAATAATAACTTCGTTGAGTTCCCCCCTTATTTGGTATTGCAATAAAGTAAAAATATTATTAAAGGACGAATTCCTCAGTTAATAATTCATAGTCAAATTCAGACATGTTGTCAAGACACAGCAACAAAGTTATTCCTCACTGCGTGGGTACTTCATTATTCCAGAGTCGTTCAACAGGATATTGGTGTTAGTGTACTAATCCTTTTTTGCAAAGACACCAGCAGTGGCGGTAACTGTACTACCCATCGCCTTAATGCCCTTCGCCACGGCCCTACTGGTCACCTCGAAACCTGCGAAAAAGTGCGGATGGGCAATTCTATCGGAAACGCCCTCAGACTCTTTGAGATTGATCCAATTATCTAGGTCTGAAAGAGCACTGCTCAGTTGTAAAGGAAAGTGTTTCGCCGCAGGAAGTTCGGGCATCACCTCGCGAAGCTGTTTTTGCCAACGCGGAATAAGCAAGCTGCACTGGGTATCGAACTCCTTCACGCACTCCCGCATCTGTGCGAAGTCCCTCTCACCCCCATCGTACGCATCCCGAAGGGCATCCTGAATGCCCGACTGCATTTGCAGGGTGGCATGGGAAAGGGTCGTCCCACACACGCTCCGCGCGACGGTGTACTGCAGAACCTCCTTCAGCGAAGGGATCTGGCAAAAAAGGTAGTCCATCGCGGCCGCAAATCCTTCCCTAGGCGTGCTCCCCTCCTCCAGCGAGACCCGTCCCCGCTCCCCCACCCGCATCGTCCAATATGCATACGTGGAAGTGGGTTTTAAGCGTTCCTCGACCTCGGCGATGAAGCCGCCCAAAAGCCGTTCGATCCCTTTTTGGAGCGGTTTCGAGACGAAGGCGGCGCACTCCGCGAGCAATCGCGGGGCCCCCATGACCTGCTCCTCGTTTTCGCTCTCCCCACCGACCCAATGCAGCATAAACTGCTGCTCTACACACGAGACGAGCAGCGGAATCGCCGCGCAGGCGGAGACCCACGTC